GGGTAATCTTTGTTATGACAGTGTTTTCACATGAGATCTACTCAGAAAAAATAATTGTCATGAGGACAATGTTTTTATCTCTCCTCTAATGGAGTATTTGTTAAAGGGACAATGTTTTTATCTTTCCTCTAATGGAGTATTTGTTAAAGGGACAATGTTATCTTTCCTCTAACGAAATAATTGTCACAAGGACAATGTTTTTTATCTTTCCTCTAATGAAATAATTGTCATTTTTATCTTTCCTTTAATTAAATAATTGTCACAAGGGCAATGTTTTTTATCCTTCCCCGACCCGCGTGGCCACAATTAACATTTTTTTACGGCAACGCTTCTTTCTCTCTCTCTCTCTGGCCGCGGAGCAGGCGATGTGATCAAACATGAGTCGATCAAGTGCGTGATGGGGGAGGGCATGCCGGTGTACCGAGACCCGTTTGAGAAAGGCCGGCTCATCATCCAGTTCCTGGTCAACTTCCCTCCCAGCAACTTCCTGCCCAGCAAGTCCATGGAGGCTCTGGAGAAGGTGCTTCCTCCGCGGGAGGTGAGGAGAGGGGGGGGTGTGGAGGGAGAGGGGAGTGCTTCCTCCGCGGGAGGTGTGGAGATGGAGGGGGGGGAGAAGAGGACATAAAGCCTTCGTCAATGTTAGATACGATAAGACCTTCGTCAATGTTAGACACGATAAGACCTTCGTCAATGTTAGACATGTGAAGACCTTCGTCAATGTTAGACACGATAAGACCTTCGTCAATGTTAGACATGTGAAGACCTTCGTCAATGTTAGACACGATAAGACCTTCGTCAATGTTAGACATGTGAAGACCTTCGTCAATGTTAGACACGATAAGACCTTCGTCAATGTCTGTTTTGTCACTGCCACTGTCGTGGTTTCCATCGAGGTTGTCAATGAGGTCGCCCAGCTTAGTTCGATGAACTTCTCTCTTTGTTTCAACGATGAAAACTCTACATGACTAAATTCCCCTGGTCCGTTCTGGGCACGTTGATTTCTGCCAATCAGTTATCTATATGTTTGTTGTGGTGGTATGTTCTATATGTTTGTTATGGTGGTATGTTACATAATGTTTGTTATGGTGGTATGTTATCTATATATGTTTGTTTATGGTGGTGTGTTACACAATAATATGTTTGTTGTGGTGGTATGTTGTATATGTTTGTTGTGGTGGTATGTTCTATATGTTTGTTGTGGTGGTATGATACATAATAATCTGTTTGTTGTGG